CGGCGCAAGCGCCGGGGGCGCCAGCGCCTGCCAGCACAGCGAGGACGTCGGTGTCGTGTGCTCGGGCCCGCTCCCGCCCCGCGCACCCAGCCTGGCCCCCGGCGCCCGCCTGCAGGTGAGCCTGGGACAGGAGACAAGGCAGACACTGGGGGACCAGAGCCTGCGGGAAACTTCCCGGCGGTGGAGGTGAGGCCCCCCGCCCGGGGCCTGCCTCACGCGCTTGGCCCCATGCAGGGCTCCAGGCTGGAAGTGCGGATCAAGCCCATCCTGGCCTGGGCCAAGCTGAGCGTCCCGGTGACCGAGGGCGGCCTGCAGGTGAGCCTGGGACAGGAGACAAGGCAGACACTGGGGGACCAGAGCCTGCGGGAAACTTCCCGGCGGTGGAGGTGAGGCCCCCCGCCCGGGGCCTGCCTCACGCGCTTGGCCCCATGCAGGGCTCCAGGCTGGAAGTGCGGATCAAGCCCATCCTGGCCTGGGCCAAGCTGAGCGTCCCGGTGACCGAGGGCGTTGTGGAGGTGAAGTACGAGGGGCGCTGGCGGCAGGTGTGTGACGCCGGGTGGACGCGGAACAACAGCCGGGTGGTGTGCGGCACACTGGGCTTCCCCCACGAGGGCCACCTCGACACCAGCTTCTACCGGTGGGGGCGCGGACACGGGGCATGCAAGGCGGGAGTGCATGCACGGGGCGTTGGGGGGGTGGGGGGTGTATGCACAAGGTGTTCAAGGTCAGGGTGCATGCACGGGGCATGAAGGAGGGGGCATGCAAGGTGGCAGGTGTTGGGCATAAGTGTGCAACTGGGTGGGGGTGCATGCAGGGCACCAGGCAGCACTACAGTGCAGAGCTCATGCATGCGCCAGGCCAGGGCACTGCTCACCCAGGGACTGTGGCAACGGGGCAGGCCTGTGCGGTACAGCCAGTGCCAGGATCCAGCCCATGCGGGGGGCACCATGTGGGATGGGGGCTCTTGTCCCAGTCTCCCCGGCCTCCTCTGCAGCAGCAGCAGCAGGCACCAGAGCGGAGAAACCCCGGGGGAAGTGCGGGGTCCCCCCTCCCCGCAGGCCCAGCTATAAATACAGCCCTAATGAGCACATGCGGTGCCAGGAGCCGCCCAAGCCAGCCCAGCGGTGCTGCAGGGCGCAGGGACCGCGGGTAATTGCAGGGAGCAAGCGCCTGCCAGGCTCCCGCGGGGGTGAGCATGTGCCCCGGCCCCGGGGATGCTGGGCTGTGGCGAAGGGCAGGGACCAGACTGGACCGGGCGACAGGTGGGCACCGTCTCCGAGCCGGCCATGGGCACTGAGACCCCCTGACCACCCCCTCTCCAACACCGCAGGAAACTGTGGAACTCGAAGCTGAAGGACCCGCTCTCGAGGTACCGAACCGCCCCCGCTCCTGGCACCAGTCACCCGGGGGGGGAGGCACAAGGGCACGGCTGGCACGGGGGCTCCACACCTGGGAGCTGCCCACAGTGACCCCCCGTTGCCCCCCTGCCTTGCAGCTTGAAGACCCTCAGCCAGAAGAACACGTTCTGGATCCACCGCTTCGGCTGCCTGGGCACCGAGCCCCACCTGTCCCAGTGCCCGCTTCAGCTGGCCCCCCCGGGCCGGCCCCGGCCCACCTGCCCCCATGGCATGCACGCCGTCGTCCGCTGCGTGCCTGGCCCTGAGTTCCAGAAGGCCAAGACCAAAGCCAAGGGCAAGCCCCTCCGCAAGGTGGCCAAGGTGAAGGTGAGGCCCCGGCAGCGTGGGGGGTGCATGTGTTGCCCTCCCCCCCAACCCAGAACAGACGGGCCCTGGGCTGTGAGAGGGGTGGGAAATGCCCCGTGGGGCACCAGCTGCTGCAACACAGCTGGAGGGGACTGCAGGAGCCTGGGTGCGACCTGAGCAGCACCGCCGAGCAGGACGGACCCCAGTTCAAACCCTCCCCGCCAGCGCGTGCACACGTGTGCGTGTGCATGTGTGTGTGTGTGTGTGTGCGTGCGCGCATGTGTGCTCTCACGCACTCGTGGTTTCTGCATGTATGCAGGCACTCGCACGGCCCATGCTTGCACCTGCGTGACCTGTCTGTATGCCTGGGCAGGCTGCTGCATGCGTGTCCGTGCCCGTACCCCCCCTGCACACCACTCCGCTCTCCGCAGGGCCCGGCGGTGCGCCTCCGGGCGGGCGCGCAGGTGGGCGAGGGCCGCGTGGAGGTGCTGCTCCACAGCCAGTGGGGCACCGTGTGCGGCCAGAGCTGGGACCTGCAGGCGGCCAGCGTGGTGTGTCGGCAGCTGGGCTACGGCACGGCCCGGGAGGCTCTCGCCAGCGCCCAGATGGGGCAAAGTGAGTCCACGGAGCTGCGGGGGCCCTGGGGCAGGGCCTGATCCTGCCGGTCCGGGGGAAGGTGGAAGGGAACCTGGCACCTGGGCCCTGCCAGCGCACGGGGCGGGCAAGGAGCTCAGGCGTGTTCGGGTGCAGGGAGGCTGGGGCAGGGCAGGCCGAGGCCCTGGACCTGACGCCCGCTCCGTGCCAGGCCTGGGCCCCGTGCACCTGGCGGAGGTGCGCTGCTCCGGCTACGAGCGGGCGCTGGGCGAGTGCAGCTTCCAGGAGGCGGCACGTGCCCCACATGGGCTACAAGAGCCAGGTGAGCCCGGGGGGGCTGTGGTGGGGCTGGGCAAGGGTGCAGGGCCCTGGATCAGGGGGGCTGGCGGGGGCCATTGCAGGGGGAGGGCATGACGGGGCCTTGGCCAGGACTGGGATGGGGATGAGGATGGGGCGCTGCCTGCTCACCCCTGTGTGCCACAGGTGCGCCTGGCAGGGGGCCGCAGCCCGGAGGAGGGCGTGGTGGAGGTGCTGGTGCCCGTGGCGGGGACCCTGAAGTGGGGCGCCGTGTGTGGGGCCCATTGGGGCCTGAGCGAGGCCATGGTCGTCTGCCGGCAGCTGGCGCTGGGCTTCGCCAGCCAGGCGCACCAGGTGAGTGCCCGAGTGGCCCCGGGTGCCTCGCGGGGGTGACTGGGGGAGCCGGGACCCCATGCGCTGAGCCCTGGCTGGGCGTGTCGGGGGGCCGTGCCTGGCGCTGGCAGCCCCCAAGAGCCGCGGCCATGCTGTCTCCCCAGGAGACCTGGTACTGGCCAGGCAGCCGGGACGCGGGCGAGGTGGTGCTGAGTGGCGTGCGCTGCGCGGGCACCGAGCTGTCACTGCAGCAGTGCCAGCACCACGGCCCCGTGCACTGCCCCACGGGCGGGGGCCGCTTCTCCGCTGGCGTTAGCTGCACCCGCAGTGAGTCAGGGCAGGTGGGCATGGGACAGGGGGCAGGGCTAGTGACAAGTGGGTGGGGTCACAGGACAGTAGGTGGAGCTATGGGATGGTGGGCTCCACCCACCATCCCATAGCTCCACCAACTTTGCATAGTCCCAACTTTGCATAGTTGGGACTATGGGAGAGTGGGTGTAGCCACTGGATAGTGGGTGGAGCCATTGAACAATGGGGTGGGGCCAATGCACAGCGGGACGGGGCAGAGGATGGGTCAAGGGGGCAAACGGGGTAGCATCCCTGGCCGTGGGGTGCAGGGCACCGCTCCGTCCGTGCACCCCGCCAGGCCCAGGGTGCCACGCGGCGGGGGGGGCAGGGCTGGGCACCCCGGCTGACCCCTGCACCCCGCAGCGGCCCCGGACCTGGTGATGAACGCACAGCTGGTGCAGGAGACGGCCTACTTGGAGGACCGACCGCTGAGCCTGCTGTCCTGCGCCCACGAGGAGCGCTGCCTCTCGAGCTCCGCCGACCACATGGACTGGCCCTACGGGCACCGCCGCCTGCTGCGCTTCTCCTCCCGGGGGGAAGGAGCCCAGGAGCCAGCCCGCGCCATCCCAGCCGTGCCCGGGCAGCCCAGGCCACGGGCTCACGTGTCCCCGGCCGCGTGTCCCTGGGCTGCGGGGGCCGGGCCAGCCCTGCCCGGGTAATGAGCAGCGTCCCCGCCGGGGCTGTCATTACGGGTCCGCTGGGCTGCAGGGCTGTAATTTGGTGCCCAGCTGCTCCCCTTCCGCTCCGTGCTGGGAAGTGTCCTGCCCTCTGCTCCCTGGCCTGGGCCGCGGGGCGCAGGGCCGCCTTCCCCGTCCCCCTGACCGCTCCTGCCCCCGCAGGCACTACCACAGCATCGAGGTCTTCACCCACTACGACCTGCTGACGCTCAACGGCACCAAGGTGGCGGAGGGGCACAAGGCCAGCTTCTGCCTAGAGGACAGCAACTGCCACGGGGGTACGTGCCCCCGCTGCCCCCGAGCTGCCCCCACCCCAGCCTGCTCCTGCCCCACGGCCCTGCTGGGGAGGCGGCACCAGGAGCTTGTCCCCAGCCAGGGCTGCCCGCAGCTGGAGTCACGGAGCGGTGCGGCGGGCAGGGCTCAAGGGTCCACGTCCCGTCCCCCCACCACTCCCCACCCACGGGGTTCATCTGGGCTGGTTTGGACGGGGCTGATCCTGCCATGGGCCGGGCTGGGACTGGATGTGACCCCGCAGCTCCCTGCCGGCCCTGCGGCTCCGGGACTCTACGAATGGGGGAGAAGAGCGAGGCGCCAGCCCAGACCGACCTGACTACAGGGATAAAGTCCCGTCCTGCCCCCAGTGCAGTGTCGGGCTGGCCCTGAGCGGAGGGCGCAACCCTCTAGCCAGGACCTCTGGGTTTCTTAGCCCCAGCCGGTGGCCGTGCCAGGGGTGCCTTAGAGATTAATGGGGTTGACTGTGATGTGCCAGGCTGTGGTTTTACTGCTCTGAGGATTTGTTCGGGATGGTTGGGGGTGTCGGGAGATCCCGTCTAGACCTGCTCTGCTGTGATTCTACACTGCAGAGGCAAGAGCTTTCCCAGCCCGCACAGGCACATTCACGGTGGTGTTTAGGTGTTTGGGGCTGCGTCTCCTCGCGATCTGGGGGTGGGGGAGCACCCGACCTCCAGCTGCGGCTCCTCACCGCGCGGTTCAGACACGACGACTCCTCGCCCGTCCCTGCCCAGCGCTTGTCCCTCCTTTTCTTGAGCCCCTGCGGCGCCGGAGCATCCTCCCCTTCCCCGGGGACTGTATCCCGCGCCGCCCCGCTCTCGCAGCAAGGAAATCTTCCCTGAGCTCGTCTTTGTTCAGGTTGAAGTCACCGCTCTGCAGCGCGGGAGACAAGCCCTTCTCCCTCGTCCCCACTGCAGACCACCAGAGCCTTGCCGGCGACCCCGGGTCCTCTCCGTTCTGCCTGGTCCTCTCGCCCTCCCCTCCCAGGGCTTGTACGGCCCCTCAGTGCTGCCTCTTCTCCCAGCCCCTAAATGCAGGAGGCTGCAAGTGGGAAAGGAACAGGGAAAACCCTGCTCAGCCCCAGGCCACTGGTGTCCCCGGAGGCCGGGCAGGACAGACCTGGCTCAGCTCTGATGTCCCTCCTCCGTTACAGGGCGGCAGCGGAGCTTTGCCTGTGCCAACTTCGGGGAGCAGGGTGTGAGCATGAGCTGCTGGGACACCTACCGGCACGACATCGACTGCCAGTGGATCGACATCACTGACGTGCGGCCGGGCAGCTACATCTTCCAGGTGGGCAGCCCAGCCCCAGCACCCGGCACGGCGCAGCCCAGCACCTCCGGGGGCTTGGGCAGGGGCTAGCCGTGCAGCCGTAGGGCCAGGCTGCCCCCCTGCTCCCCGCATCCTTCCTACACCCTCCCTGCCCCGCTGTCCCCCGCAGGACACTGTCAGGGCCCCGCTGGCCAGCCTGGCTCTGCCCGGCACCCCCCAGGCCTGGCAGAGCCGAGCCAGGACGTGGCTTGAGTTCATTTCCACTGCAGCTGGGCACAGGGTGCAGCCAGGATGAGCAGGGCCAGGGGATGCCCAGCGCTAGGGCTGGACTGGCATGGGATCGGGGGGGCAGCCTGCCAATCCACCTGCCAATAAGTAGCTGGACCAGGGTCATCCAGTTGACTCAGTACATCTGGACTTCCAAAAAGCCTTGGCCAAGGTCCCCCATTAGAGGCTCTTAACTAAATTAGGCAGTCACGGGACCATCCCCTCCTGGCTTAGCATCAGTTTAAAGACTAAGCAAAGAGCAAGTCGAATGGTCAGTTTTTGGGATGGTAAGAAGTGAGCAGCAGGGTCCCGTGCTGGGCCCAGCGCTGTTTCGCACGTTCATGAGCGAGCTGGACGGGGGTGCGCAGATAACAAAACTGTTCAAAGTAGTACGGACCAAGGTGGGCTGTGGGCAGCCACAGAAGGATCTGACACGATTGAGCAAATGGGCAACTCGACGGCAGATGAAATTCAGTGTAGATAAGTGTGAAGTGATGCACGTGAACAACAGCAGCAACCTAAACTAGCCTTACCCTCTGATGGGCTCCCCGGGGAAGAGCTGGGCAGCCTCGTGGACAGGGAGCTGCCACCGGCTCAGTGCTCAGTAGCCGTCAAAACGGCAAACGCAGTGTTCGGGGTAGAAGGAAGGGAACGGCAAACAGCATGGGACGTATCGTGCTGCCCCTTTTTAAGCCCATGGGGCACCCACACCTTGAACGCTGCACCGTCACGCCCTCCCAGCCTCCGCTCGCTGCCCCGCGCGACACCGGAGCCTGGGCAGGATGGACCGGGTCTGACCCTGCATAGGGCAGCGCCACCGCTCTTGTGGCCAGAGCCCGGGTGTCCCCCGCTCACCGCCTCTCCTCCCTCCCACCCAGGTGATCGTGAACCCCCTGCGCGACGTGGCCGAGTCAGACTTCTCCAACAATGTCGTGCGGTGCCAGTGCAAATATGACGGGCAGCACATCTGGATGCACGCCTGCCACACAGGTACGACGGGCACAGAAGGCAGGGGGCTGGGACTCGGAGCAGGCCACGAGGGGCCGGGAGCCTGCAGCTGTGGCACCGTGGGCCATGAAGTGGGGCTGAGGATGGTCGCTAAGATCCCCAGCTCAGAGCACAAGCGGGAGAGCGCCCCGTGGGCTGGGAAGGTCCTGAGCTGGGCTGGGGGCACAGGGCACAGCTGGGAGCGCGGGAGGGGCTGCCCAATGCCACCTCCCTGCACTCACGCCGGACCCTCTCCTCCTCCAGGCGATGCCCACGGGGCCGATGTGCTCAGCGTCATGGAGCAGCAGCAGCGCCTGGC